TGAACAATCAAAGTGATAATTACTTACCTCTACTCCTATGCTTCGAAAAGGAAGTGCATAAAATGCATCGAAATGGAAATGCTGAAAATAAATGCATCGAAATAAAAAGCTATGTTAAACTACTCCTAAGATAAGGAAAATGACAAGAAATATTGAAATCAAGTGTCTTTGATTTAAGTTCTGGATCCATTACAATGTAGCCATTAATGGCTATTTATAAAAGAAAAAATACAGCAACAACTACTTAGTAACTACCCATTTCTTCCATCTTCATTCTTGTCTTGCCATGTGTCCTCCCACTCATCCACTTTGTCTTTCATATTCTCCATTATCTTTATAACTTCTTTTAACTTTCAAATGAATAAGAGGATGCCACGTGTCCTACAATTATATAAATAATAAATAATAATAAAAATTGTAGATTTATGGTGCTAACATTACCCCCCGCGGCCCTTAAAAATGATGTTTACTTGAATTTTTGAAGGGCCGAACCAAGCACATGACTAATCTAAGCAATAAAATGCTTCGAATAACAACGAAGTGCTTCAAATGATATAATAGCACCAATGAAGTGTTTCGAATGAGTATGAAATTATGACTAGATGTCTCGAATGCTAGCTATTACGGACTAGTAACAAGCTTCAAAGGCGGTACAATGGACCAAAATCATCTTTCGAAGGTTGAAAGTGCCGACAAAGGACAAATTACATCCTTAGAAATACTCGGCAAAGTTTCGAAGGTTCACAACCACCATTATTGTTTCTTCGAAGCTGTTAATGCAAGATGGAGTGCTTCAGAGCTTACAAAATTATGGCAAAAGAGCCTTCGAAGCAGCTTTTGGCCAACATTGTAGTTATTCACATTGTGTATGTTCTGGTTCATACATGATTAATGAAAATATTAATTTTGTGCTTCGAACCAATTATTAATTCTTCGAAGACACCAAAACTGTTGTTCTTCGAACCAACTTATCATGCCAAAAACAGGCATTATTCGACAACTAATTAATTGTCATTTTACATATATTTGAAGAGATGTACACATTTTGAAAGTTTTCAAAGCTATATACAGTTTCGAAGGTGAAGTAATCAACCTTTGAAACAACTCTTGATGTTTCGAATGTATCTGCAAAGCTTTATACAGTTTCGAAGGTGAAGTAATCAACCTTCGAAACAACTCTTGATGCTTCGAATGTATCTTCGAGGCTTTGATTGTGTACATACAAACAACTGGCCATCAATTTGAAAAGATAAGTCATTCTCAACCAGGCTTTTTCTAGCCAAGTTCATGCATTTTAAATAGTCATTCCTTGTTCTTAGTGCTTCGAACTCATAAGAACAATTTGTTAATTTTATTAGCCACATCATCAGAATTATATTTTGAAGTAAACCACAAATCCAAAAAGGATTTTGAACACCAAAAGTCATGGTATAGTGTGACCATGAAAATTCATACTTTTTGACATTTTGAAAAATGTCAAAAATTTTGAATTCATGAACAGTGGCTTGTTTCTTGACCATGTTTGTTTTAAAAGCATGACTTTTGCCGAATAGGTTTTCATAATTATTTGGCAAAGTGGGTTGTTTTTCCATGTTAGCCATTAATGTCTTATGAAAATCACCCATAGATATGTTATTTTCATGACTTGACTCTCTAAAATTTGATTTTTGGACCCCTCGAGTCATACATGAAACATCATTCTTAGCCAAATTTGGCTCAAGAACATGCCCTTTCGTTGTGTTAATTTCATAATTTGGCTCTTTTAAAACGGACTCTTGATCCCCCCGAGCCATTGATGAAATCAACTCTTTACTTTTGCTATTTTTAACCATGAAAAAATTCTAAAAAAATTCACCAATTCTAGCCATTAAAGCCTCAGTTAAAGACTTGGTAGTGAGAGTTGATAACTCATCATTCCATTGGCAAATTTTCATATCAAGTTGATGAATTTCTCCAATTAAATGGTGTCTTTTTTCTTCCACCAAATAATATTGTAAGGGATGAAAGTTTATTTCATCAGGAAAATGGATCTCTTCTTGAAGATCCAAAATTTCTCTTTCATGCCAATATATTTCATATTGACAAGTTTGAATGGCGAAATCCAAATCGTTTGTCATTTCTTGCACTTGGCTGTCCCACTGGGCGTGCCAAAAATTGTTGGCTTATTTTTCCTACGAAGGAAAATATCATAAATGCGAGCGTGCCAGCAAGGATTGAAAAATCCTTACAGATTAAATTCAAGCCAATTATCAAGCGATTGCGTTGACGGCTCTTTTGCCTCAACAAAGAGGACTTCAAAATTGCCAAGTGTAGAAAAAAGAAAAATTAAAAGAAGAAACAGGGACGGAGAAAGACGATTGAGTGAACAATCAAAGTGATAATTACTTACCTCTACTCCTATGCTTCGAAAAGAAAGTGCATAAAATGCATCGAAATGGAAATGCTGAAATAAATGCTTCGAAATATAAATCTATGTTAAACTACTCCTAAGATAAGGAAAATGACAAGAAATATTGAAATCAAGTGTCTTTGATTTAAGTTCTGGATCCATTACAATGTAGCCATTAATGGCTATTTATAGAAGAAAAAATACAGCAATAACTACTTAGTAACTACCCATTTCTTCCATCTTCATTCTTGTCTTGCCATGTGTCCTTCCACTCATCCACTTTGTCCTTCATATTCTCCATTATCTCTATAACTTCTTTTAACTTCCAAATGAATAAGAGGATGCCATGTGTCCTGCAATTATATAAATAATAAATAATAATAAAAATTACAGATTTATGGTGCTAACAGTATGCTACATTGGATTGTTACATTTAGAAAAAGTTTAGAGTGTTACGTTGTTACGTTTGAAAAAAATACACTAAGAAATTTTTTAACATGTTACATTAGAGTGTTACATTATTGAAGTGTTACGCTCTTATTCGTGATATGAGATTTATTTCAGAATGAGAGAAAATCCAAAACTTCTATAGTACGGACTGCCCAAATGTATAATTTTACATTTGGAGAAATCCACTTTAATCCCTCGAAAATTAAATCTAAACGTAAACGTATAAGTGACTACCCTTTTGTATAATTTCCACTTTAATAAAACCCATAAGTTCATAAGAAAATAAAAAGAAATAAACCGTTTACAAAATCAAATTTTAAAATTTGTTGATACTTTTCCCAACTTAAATTGATTTCATGTGATGGAACAATGCAACAAACTCATAAAAGGTATTTAAAATTTTAAATTCACTACACATTTTATTTTCTAAACACTTTTATAAATATATCTATATATATATGTTTAATAATTTAGATTTCTCTATTTTCTAGATGAAATAAAAATGATGTGAAATATTCGAATAAATTTTATTTGAATTAAAAAATAATAAATAAATTTTTTGTAACTAATAATGATATTATGGTCATAAATCCTTGCTTTTGAATTTTTATATTATATCACAAACTTTTTTCATAAAATGAATAGTATCAAAATTCCTTTTTTCCCCGAATGGCTAGCTTTTCCGCAAATGATGGCCTTTAGGCCCAAATCGTGAATAATAACCGGTTTTAAATAGATTCTCTCCACTATTTTTTTTTTCTTCAATAAAATCATACGTATTAATTGATATGTCAATTAGTTTATTAAGAGATGATCGGACATAATTTTAAAAATTTTGAGTTTATATAATTTGTATAATGAGTGGAGTTCATAGTTTTGAAGTGATAATATTATAACATATGTTGGTATACTAATTAGTATATATAGCATCACCATTTTTTTTCTCTAGCCATAGTAAATATTAGTATTTATTATATTTTGTGGCTTAGATTAATGTTTAGTTTGGTTAGGATAAAAATGATAGAAGAAAGTGAAAGAAATAGAGAAAAAAAAAAGAAGGTTTTCTAAGTTTGTTGGACTTTTCTTAAGTGTGCAACTTACACCTTATACTTACGCCTTTCTGTTTGCTGTCCTGTTTTATGTTTACACTTTCCACTTACACCTTTTGTGTTGGTTGCATATGATGTGCAACCTTAAGGGGTTGCACACCATAACAGTACCCAAGTTTGTTTAGCATGAAAGTGGAAGTTAGAAGAAAGTTAATGTTGTTGTACAACTCATAATAACATAATATCTAAACTTCCAGTTTCTTGCAAAAAATATAGGAAAATACAAGAAAATTTAAATTTATCATAAAAGTAGTTACTTATAATTAAAATTCTTATTTTCTTGTAAAATTTTCATCCTAATCAAATTCGTATAAGAAAATGTATTTTCTTTTCCTTTTCTTTTCTTTAATTTACTTTCTACTATTACTACTTTCCATCATTTATTTTTTTTCTAATCAAATGAAACCTAAGTGTTAGATAATAATTCGAGAAAGAAATAAAGAGAAAAAACAAACTAGTGCTCATCATATTTTATGGCTTTTGAATCAAATATTAGGTAATAACAAGATAAAAAAATATATTGAAGAGGATCTGAATCCCTAGATATGTTTGGTTTGGTTTTTCCAGAAGCATGTTTCAAAAAATTATTCTAAAAAATTAAATATTAATTTCATGAAAGAATGAAAAAATCAAAGAACTTATCAATTTTATATTTTTAGATGGTAAAAATATTTTTTAATATTTATTTTTATCAAATTAGTTTTGAATTTTCTGAAAAAACTTTCAGAGATTCAAACTAAACATGCCTGTGTTTTTAATAACGAAATTTCATCACCCCACCTGCTTAAAGTATAAAACCAAACAGATCAAAATTTACCACAAAAGCATGTGCTAATCACCAACCACATTTATTTTTTAAAAATAAATTATTTATTTAAAAAATAATAATAAATGTGATTACATTAAGGAAATATAATTATAAGATTAATTTAATTTTTTATATGAATAATATAAAAATTAACGATCCATATTTTATTGTAAATTTCACTCTTTTGCAGTGGCGTTATTATGTCGGTCCACTACCAATATAAAAGGGTCTTCCCCTCCCTTCAAATCTACGTCTTCATATTTACAGTTCTCTTGTTTATATATCTTTCTTAACAACACATTTTAGAGAGAACCACCACCACCACCACCCATCACCACCGCGCCGCCACCATGGAAATGCCAGAGCCAGCAGTAATAATAGTCGGAGCAGGGCCATCCGGCCTCGCCACGGCCGCCTGCCTAAACCGCCTTTCGATCCAAAACATTGTTTTGGAAAGAGAAGATTGCTTTGCTTCCTTGTGGAAGAAAAAATCATATGATCGCCTCCACCTTCACTTAGCAAAGCAATACTGTGAGCTCCCTCACATGTCTTACCCCAAAAACTCCCCAACCTATGTATCCAAAAAACAGTTCATACAATACTTAGATGACTATGTTGCTCATTTCAACATTAGTCCTATGTACAATAGACCCGTTGTCTCCGCAGACTACGATGAAGTTTCACAGAAATGGAAAGTTAAGGTTAGAAACATGGTTTCCGACGAGGTCGAGGAATATTCAGGCAAGTTTATGGTGGTGGCGACAGGAGAGACTAGCGACGAGTTCATACCGGAGGTGGAAGGGTTGAGAAATTTCACAGGGGAGGTTATTCATTCCACACTGTATAAGTGTGGAGACAAGTACAGAGATAAAAGGGTTTTGGTTGTTGGGTCTGGGAATTCTGGTATGGAAATTGCTTTCGATTTGTCAAATTATGGTGCCAAGACCTCCATTGTCGTTCGAAGCCCTGTAAGAGTTTTTTACTTATCCTTTAGATCTACCTATGTTGACTTTTCATGTTCCATATCTATGTTTGTTTTGTTTTTTGTGCAACTTGGCCTCGTTTGGAAACTGTTAGTAATTTTTTAGTTTTTTAACTAAAATATAAGATAAAAAAATTGGTAAGTTTAAAATGATTTTTTAATTTTTTAAGAAAAGATGGGTAAAAAATAAAGATAAAAGAAATTTTTTTGACTTTTTGATATAGGTTATATGCTTTTTAATTTTTTTAATAATTTTTTAACTTTTAAACTAAAACTAATATTTTTCAAACGAGGCTTAGTGTATTTGAAAAATGATTTTTTTAGTGATTTTTTTACTTTAAAAAATACATATGTTTATAAATAATTTTTTAAATTTTTAAGAAAAAATATGTCAAAAATAAAATATAATAAATTTGTAATTTTTTTTTTTTTTTTGTATTGGTTGATTTTTTTATTTTTTTATATATTAAGATAGTCACTTACTAGATAAAAAGTCAAAGAATAATTTATGTCCCGAATACTCTATTTTTATTTTTCAAAGCACTTGTAATCGTTGGATTGAGTAAAGAATCTCAGTACATAATCCAACGACTATGAGTTTTGAGTAAAATAAAAAAATAAAAAAATAAAAAAAAATATTTGAAAACAAAAAATATTGTGTCTGAGAAAAAGATTATTATAATTTTATCCAAAAAATTGTATACTCTAGATTCAACATTTGTGTAACAAAATTTAGATTAAAATTACTTTTAAAAAAGCGGTTGATAGTGGACAAGGCTCATATGGTGAAGTCGGTTTTGAAAAAGTCTGCGTAATTTTCGCTTCTATGTGAAGGAGATTGTTTTTGGATTTCATAAAATAATATAATGACTTTTTTTTATTTATTAAAATTATCACTTGCTAGATTAAAACTGAACGAATATTTTATTCCTAATACTCTGTCTCTATTTTCCTAAACACTTGTAATGGTGGGATTAAGAATCTTAGGGCATGTTTGATTGGAAGGATTAAAGTATGGGATTAGGATTATTAATCCGTGGGCCCAACCATCCTATGTTTGTTTTGACATTTGGTTTAGGACTATTAATCCAATGGATAATTAATCCAACAAATTTGTAGGATAATTAGTAATGGGGTAGGGGTGGGATAGTTAATACCACACTAATTTGATAGGATTATTAATACCTCACTATTAGTATTGTGAATCAAACATGGCCTTAGTGTATAATCCAATGACTATGAATGTTTTGAGATTAAAAAAAAAGGAGAGATTTAAAAATAAAAAATCTTGTGTCCCAAAACATATTCGGTGCTCGTGGTTTTAATTTTTTAAATTTAATTTTCTAAAAATTAAGTTTTTTGTTTTTCGTATTTTTTTATTTTTAATAAATATTTTTAAAATTTTACCATTTTTTTAAAAATTTTTTAGATGCACCTTACGTAGATGTATCTAAAAAGTAAAATATTTGTGAAAAAATATTTCAAAAAATTAATAAATACACAAAAATATGAAAAATATATTGAATTTTCATTTTTTTTTTTTATATTTTTGGTATTTAGTGATTTTTTTAAAAAAAAATTCACGAAAATTATACTTTTTAAGTATATTTATATTAGGTGTATCTAAAAACTTTAAAAAAAAATTGTTTAAAATATTAAAAAATTTAGTAAAAACAAAAAAAAAATTAAAATTAAAATTTTCTGAAAAATGTTTTTAGAAAATCCAAACCAAGCAAAGTGTTATAATTTACTTAAAAAATAATATACTCTACATTCAACATTTGTATGGCAAGATTTAGATTCAACTCTTGTATGGTGTGTTTTGCATTTTAAACGAATTTAGACCATGTTATTTTTCTAAATAAAAAACTCTAAATATTTTTTCTCAATACTTAAAATTACTTTTAAAAAAGAGTTTGTTATTGGACAAGACTCATATAGTGGAGTCGTCTTGAAAAAGTCAATAATTTTAACTTCTATCCGAATGAGATTGTTTTTGGATTGCATAACTTACACGATACCTAGAAAAATAAAAAATAAAAATATAATGTTTTGATTAATTAAAATATATGTATGGATGTATGATTGATGATGGGAGTTTTGTTTGGATGGAGATGCAGCTTCATATAATCTCAAGGGAAATGGCATATTTGGGGTTAGTATTGTTGAAATACATACAAGTTTCAATTGTGGACTACTTGTTGGTATTGCTAAGCAAGCTAAGGTATGGAGACCTAACCAAGTATGGGATTCGAAGGCCTGAGGAGGGTCCCTTTACCCTGAAAGTCAAGTATGGCAAATACCCAGTCATTGACGTTGGCACCTATAGCAAGATAAAGTCCCGCGAAATTCAGGTATGACAGAGAGAGAGAGTTGTCTCAAAAACTACTTTTTAAATACAAACCAAACACACACAGTACACAAATTTGTTTGGTTTGTCTTTTTTCAAATATTCTCTTTAAAATAACTTTGATTTTTTTTATAGAATAGTTTTTGAAATAAAAAAGTATAAAAACTTGTTTGGTTTGCCTTTTAATAGAGTAGTTTTTGAGATAAAAAGTACAAAAACTTGTTTGGTTTGCCTTTTTTACAAACATGTTTCAAAAGTAATCCTGAAAATTGGATAACCAAACACATTTCCGAGTGTTTTTTTGAAAAAATTTATTTGGTTTGATTACTCTTAAAAAAAGTATTTGTAAAATATATTTCCAAAAAATTTCTCCCAAAATCAAACCAAACAAAAGAAAGAGTTTAGTCTTTGTGGGCCTACTTGGATTGGACCCATCTTCATCATATCAACCATTCATCATATAAAATTTATCAAGGAATAATTTTTTTAGGTAAGAAATTAAGTTAATTAAACATTAACAATCACATGATCTAATCCTGAAATTATCAATATTTGATCAGTTTCACTTTTACATTAATGATCTCCTCCATGCACTCTATAAAAAAATGATTTGGATCATGACACACTATAAATTTTCTTAGGCCTCGTTTGGCAAGTGTTCCTTTTAGTCAAAGAGTCAAAAAAATTGCTAAAAAACTCGAAAAGCTAACAACCCATACCAAAAAGTCAAAAATTCTCTTTTCTCTTTACTTTTTGCACATCTTTTTGTAAAAAGTTAAAAAGTCATTCCAAACATACTAGTTTTTTTTATATCACATTTTAATTAAAAAGTCAAAAAGTTATTAAAAAAGCATGTTTCCGAACGAGGCCTTAATTCATATTATTTTTTAACTGAATAAAAATTAATTGTTCAGCCATCAATAACTGGAAAAAAAATTCGTCTAACAATTGATTTTTTTACCGCTAATATCTTAAAAAGATGAACTTCCGGATAGGGTTCGGAAGAAAAGCTTTGGTACTATATAAAAATAAAGTCAAGTTTGGGAAATTTTAAATAATTCATATTTTTATCTTTTTATCTTTTTATCTATCACATCACCTCTCTATTTTTTTGTAGATCTTTTCATAAAAAGACAAAAAATACATTTATTTAGATCATCTCAAACAACCCTTTAATAAAAGCATTAAATTTGACAAAACAGTAGAGATATACTTTGTTATCTTCGGTGTTGTGTTGTGTTATGTGACAGCGTAGCGACCAGGGTTACGTGGTTTGCACAACACGTGGCACTTAATTGAAGCAAGCCACCTCAATCACACGTATGGCTTAAAGCAAAAAAAAAAAATAAAAGTCATGTTGTTTTTGTTTTGTTTTCCTTATTCTTAGATGACGAATATATTGAAATAAGCTTTTATTAGAAAGAATACAAATTTAATAGAAGGATATTGAATTTTTCTTTATTAAATTTAAATTTAATGCGAGACTGTAAAGGAAAGAAGATACTCTAATCTAATCTATTTATTATTTGAAAATTTGGCCATAAATCTCTCAAGAGATACTTATTTTGTCAAAATGACAAGAATTATATGAATACTTTTAAAAACTCTTAGTATTTTAAAGTATTATTTTTATTATTCTCATCGTCACTGTTTTTCTCTACTATCTCATATGAGATTGATGATCTTAGATCTGAGATTTGTTACATTAGATTTGAAAATCGATAGTTCTTTCTCTCTCTCTCTGACTTTTTTTTTTCTCTCTCTCTCTCTTATTCACTCATTCCCCTGTAAATTCCTGTTTTTTGTTTGTTCCTTTTTTTTTTTAATTTATTCACAGGCAAAATCGCAAATTTTACTTTGATTCAAAGTAAAATTTTGTCATTTTAACAAAAAAATGAAAGTTGTGAGGGTGTTTTGCAAGTATTGATTTTTTTTTTTTTTTTTGTCCTTTTGACAAAAAACGAAAGATTTGAGAGATTTGTGGCCAAATCTCCCTTTATTATTTCATATTATCTTGTTGTATTCATGTGTCCTATCAATAAATTTTAGTTTTAGTTAAAAATGTCAATTGTATGAAAAAATTAAACTTTTTTCCTACAAGCTAAATTTAGTGAAATTAATATATACTGAATGAAATTATTCATAAGAATATTTGATTTTAACTAAATTTTATTTTTTTAATTTATGAGTGTGAGTAGGAAATATACTTTTATTAGTACATAAATGATAGAAGTTTCTACTAAATTACTAATTTTTTTTACCAATTACACATATGAATGTGATCTAACATGGGTATGGAGTCCATGTATAAAATTGATAAAAAAAAAAATTTAAGTTTAAAAAAATTACTAACATTCTTTATTTATTTATTTATTTTTTATTTTACTTATAAGATTTAAAGTCAAAATGAGAACTTTTCTTATACCAAGGCCTGGAGCAAGTACTCCATTTGCAACCCTTGAGCCGGCCCTGATTGGCTGTGTTTGGTTTAACTTTCTAAAATTAATTTTATACTTAGGTCTCGTTTGGGATGCTACCTTTTTAGTCAATTAGTGAAAAAGTTACTAAATTAGCCAATTAGCCAATTAGTCATACCAAAAAGTCAACAATTACGGTTTCTCTCTACTTTTTGTTTTCGTAATTAGTCAAAAAGTCATCCCAAACATACAAGTTTTTTTTACCTACCTTTTTAGCCAATTAGCCAAAAAGTTACTAAATTAGCCTGTTCACAAACGAGGCTTTACATTTTAATGTTATTTTGGTTTAAGTTTTCAAAATATGATTCTAAATCAATTTCAAAATATATTTTAAAAATATGTTTAATAAATCAGACAATTTTTAAATTTTTGGTCTACCCGGTCGTCCGATCAGTTGATCGAAACAGTACCTTTTTTTTTTGTGTAATTGTTAATCACCACCTGTTATTTGAAAGAACAAAATTTATAAATTTTTTTGATATTTTTTAAATATAGAAATTATTTTTTTAGACCAAAATGACATTATTTTTTTGAATTGAATTTTAAAAGAGTTTGGTTATGAATTTTGAATAAAATTTTCAATAGAGTTTTGAGTTACGTGTTTAATTATGAGTTATAAGTTTTTCAATTTAGTTTTCAAAATTTATAACCAAATAGCTTTTCTCATTTTATATGTCACATCAAAATTCAAAACTCTTTACAAAATTTATAAGTAAACAAATTTTCTCTTTTCAAATCATAATTTCAAAACCTACAAACTCAAAATATAACTCTATTATCAAATCATAATTTTAAAACTCTATCCAACACTACCCAACATTAATTTTGACACTTTCTCACATTCAACATTGGTTGGCGTGTGGGTGTTACGTGTAAATAATTGTACAGGTGTTGCCAGCAATTACAAGCATAAAGGGGGATGAAGTGGTGTTTCAGAATGGCAAATCTCATCCCTTTGACGCCATTGTTTTCGCTACCGGCTTTACTAGATCTACCCACAAATGGCTTAAGGTCAAGTACATATATACATACATATAAATAGTTTTGCTAGAACCGAAATCAATCATAGAATTAAATTTAAGTGGCGCTTGATTTGATTTTCAAATCATAATTTGAATCAAAAAATTTCAAAACTCATAATCAAATAAAATTTTAAAAAATCAATTCAAAAATTCTTTCCAAATTTATAACCAAACTCTTTTCAAAACTTTATTTTAAAAAAATAAAAAATTTCAAAAAAATATTTTTTTGTTTTTTAAATATTAGTCAAATAATTTATTATGATTTAGATATATATGAGCGATCCTAAATTTTTTAAAATTTTAAAAAATAAATAATATTTAAAAAATAAAAATATTTATTTACAAAAAAAAATTAAAAATATTTATAAAATAAAACAAAATATTTAAAATAAAAAAATAAAATTATTTAAAATAAAAATAAAAATAAAAATTTTAAATATTTAAAAAAATATTTTTAAAATGTTTTTAAAAAATACAATGCATAAATTTAATAAATACAATGAATATTAAAAAAAAATTATTTACAATAAAAAATATATACTCTAAAAAAATAAAATAAGAAAATATTTAAATATTTTAAAAAAACCCAAAATAATTTCAAAATACAACTCAAATTCTTTTAAAAAAACTTTTCAAAATTCATAATCAAACAAGTTTTCTCTTTTCAAAATTCATTTAAAAAACTTATCATCAAAACACAATTCAAAACTCATTTTAAAAACTAAATCAAACAAAACCTTACTTTTTTTTATATAAGATAAAAATTTATAAATAGCTGACATCACTCAAGTAAGAGGATGTGTCCAGCCTTATGATTGATTTCCGTGCACTTTAGATATTTCATTCTTAAATTTACTCCTTTTTTAATCCCTTCAATCAGTTGAGTATTGAAACTAATTATAGAATTGAAGACAACTCACTTTTATATAAGATAAGACCTATTTAATATGTAAAATGTATTCACACAACTGGGTAAACTGATGACACTGTAATTTTTTAAAATATTTTTATGTATTTATTTTTTTTGTGAAACAGGGAGACAATTACTTGCTGAACAAAGATGGGCTTCCAAAGCCCAGTTTTCCTAACCACTGGAAGGGGCAAAATGGATTATATTGTGCCGGACTAGCAAGGAGAGGATTATATGGAGCTGCAATGGATGCCCAAAACATAGCCAATGATATCAAGTCAGCTCAGTGATTTGCAACTAATTACATACAAATTTGTAGCACCACGTTTCTCAGTATTGTTCTACTAAATAAAGAAAAATGCCTCATACACCCCAGTGAAGTGGCACTCCATTATTGGCCAAAAAAAATTTTTTTTTTTTTTTTTTTTAAGTTTCAACCAGTGGGGGCCCGACACCTCACTGGGGGTGCGACCCCCACTGAGAGTATGCAGCACTGCTGACCAAATAAAAGGGTGGAAGTCAACTCATGTTACAGTTTGTTCAAGAATACAATATAAATTTTTTTTTATGATTCCCATACTTTTTATACAGTTTGATGTGACTAATGTAGCAAAACTACTAAAGAGGCTCAGATTTCGATCAATGATCCTGAATCCCAGATCTTTACCCTTCCTTAGATTTCCAAGACAACCTATTTAGGATACATGCACTACAAAAAAAATTGTCTTTTGCGACGGCGTTTTACCCCAAACACCGTCTCAAAAGATTTTTACGACGATAAAATGGCTTTTTGCGACAGTAAGTGGGGGTCGCAACAAAAGGGGCTGCAAAAGGATTCTTTGTTTTTGTGACGGGAAAATTTCTTTTTTGCGACGGCAAATTTCTGTCGCCAATAATGGAGGAAAATTTGAGTTTTTTTGCGACGGCACAATATTGCCGTCGCTAAAAGGATTTTTTGCGACAGCAAAAAATAACCGTCGCTAAAAGTGTCATACGACGGCAAGTGCCGTCGCCTTTGTTTTTGCGACGGGAAAATTTCTTTTTTGCGACGGTAAATTTCTGTGGCCAATAATGGAGGAAAATTTGAGTTTTTTTGCGACGGCACAATATTGCCGTCGCTAAAAGGATTTTTTGCGACAGCAAAAATACCCGTCGCTAAAAGTGTCATAGCTAATGACTATTGTCGACGGCAACCTGAGCCGTCGCTAATGACTATTGTCAACGGCAATGATACCGTCGCTAAAGGCCTTATTTTTCAATTCAATTCCCTACCTTTTGCGACAATATAAGTGCCGTCGCAAAAAGCCTCGTTCAATTTACTTTTTGAGACGGAATGTTCTGCCGTCTCAAAAAAAATTATAAAAAAAAAACCTATATTAAAATTATTAAAAATATAAAAATAATATGTATTAAATGAAAAATAACTAAAAAACCTATATTAAAATTATTAAAAATATAAAAATAATATGTATTAAATGAAAAATAACTATAAAAAAAATCAATAATTACATAATAATATAAATACATACATAAACAAAAATTGACACATGATGAAAATTCATAATGTTGTTCCATTCATAACAATACATAAATAAAAATTCATAACAATAAAAATTATGCCACTACATAATGTCGCATAATACATACATAATGTTGTTCACAAATTTAAATAACATAAATTAAAAACAAAAGTTTTCATCATATGATTCTTCCGTGGGTTAATACTTTAATCTTTACACGCCTGCATTCCACAAGAAACAAACTGCTACTCCCGAAATATCTGAAAATAACAAAATAAAAATAATTAATGACAATATAATTGTGTTAATATTTTAATTATAGAAAAACATAAAAAATTAACTACTATATATATATGCACACATATGCATTATATATGGCTTTTCTAACTATTTACTAGCTAATAGACCCTGAAAAATTGTTCAAATCATACATGATATTAAACATCCAGCTGAAACATGCTATTCTAAGGAAAGGGACCTTGAGTAGCTCTACTATATTTGAAAATTTGTTTGCAGTCAGGCCTCAGCAAAGATTCACTTTTCAGAAGGAAATAATAGATGCAAATGTCAATGCACTACTGAAGACATATTGTCTACTTCAACAATATTTCACGCATGTAAAATATTCAAGATGCCATTTTAAATAGGCCAAACCAAAAAACACACCTACATACCTTTTCTAGTGCTAGAGCAAGTTTCGAGAGATTTGGATAAACGCTTCTCGCACTCAAAAGGATCTGATTCACAGAAGGTTCAATGAAATAAGTCATACGGAAACATAATACGACTTAGATACAGATATTTGCTAGGCATAACATATATTTAAACATAGAGAGTAGTAAGCAATTGTTTCAACAAAAATAAGCCCAACATGAAACAACCCTAGGATGCCCTTCCCTCCACAAGGCAATCTCCAAAACTAACAAACAAATAAAATTTAGGATTCCACTGATTCAAAACCTCAAATAAGGTTTGAACCATCACCAGAATTCAGTGCACAGTAGTAACCAATTAGGAGATTGTTGAAGTTATTAGGCAGGGTACAACAAAATGAAACATGATACTCATAATGGACAAGTATGATCACCTCACAAAGCCTCTGCAGGGTAAAAGGAGGACCTTCTATAAAGCTGAGAAGAGCTGCAGAGGAGAATAAACATTCTGTGAATGCTTTCAACAATATCTTACCAAAATTTCAGATTAGGAGAACAAATACATACATAGCTAGAAAATATCACTAATATACACAATCACAAATATCCAAAATATCCATCAGTATTATGGAGTTATGCCCAACACCCTTCCAGCCTTTGTAATGGTTTACTATGCATGAATTCAACAGAGATATGGCTCTTAACAGAGTTGACAGAAATAGAAAGTTACAAGTAACTAGCCATAAGGAGCAGGTTTTGAGACCTTTTGAGATCAGTGAAGAGTATGGTCACAAGCATTCAGGGAACCAATACAAAGAAGTTATATTTTGATTTTCTCCTTTTTTTCATTTTTTATTTTTTATTTTTGAAGAAAAAAAATGAAATAATATTTATGACTCATACAATATATAATCTTGAAGTATACAAACAAAAGAAAGAACTTGCAAATCCATGACATGCGAAGCTACATATGATTTTCTAACTTTGTACTAGCCTATGATCTTTTCCTCACGTCATTTAAGTTTGTTGGTAAAGCAGAAACACATGCGTATCAGATTAGGAAAATACAATTTAAGCATTGCACTGCTAATTGGAAACACATGGCCATTATAGGGCTAAGGGCCAAGCATTATCAATGGAGAAGGATTCTACTCGAGCAAAGAGTCAAAACAACTCAACCATGCATGGATCAAGCATGGTTAAAGAACACCCAAGGACTTCATGAGCTCACTTTAAAGAACATCCAAAGGGAATAGGCAAAAAAAAAATTCCACAATTTTGCTTTTTCTTCAAATCGCCATAATTTTCATTACCACCATGGCATCACCAAAGACTTTGCTTCATACAATCGTATTGAAATTAGTCTCGAGCGACGCCACAAAACATCACAATCAGACAGATATAGCACTAATAAGGAGACAAATTAAAGATTTTATATGTATACGTGAAATTTATGTCAGAAGTGAACATCATCGAGTAACAGAATGTGGTGACAAAGACCTGAACAGAATGATATTAATAAGGAAATCTAGAAAACATCATCGAGTAACAGAATGTGGTGACAAAGACCTGAACAGAATGATATTAATAAGGAAATCTAGAATAAAGGGTCTTCTTTTCTTTAGGTTGGGGGTTGAGGGTGTTGGGTGAATATCTTACATTCACTTGTGTCTACATGTGTAATCAGAATATTGATAGAAGCCCCAGAAACAAAGTTTATGCATCAACTCCATGCTTTGGTCCACAAACACCAGAACATTTCATGCAAAATGAAATAATACAACTTATGGATGTAATTTTATACTAAGGTACAAACTTGCCAAAATTTCCCAGTTGAAGCAATAACTTCAAGTATAGTTCTGGCTTCTTCTTCGCCAATCTCATGCTTGTATTCCATTCCTCTGGAATTTTATGTATAATAAGGCTTTAGTAAATCAAATATAGTATGAAGACCCTTATAAAAACTTGCACATAAAGCTTTCAAAAAGTTGTTAGGTATTTGAATTGAAGACATATAATCAACTCTTTGCTCCACACAAACCCACTGGAAGGGTAGGAGAAGAAAGAAACAAAGAAGAAGAATAAGAAGAAGAAAGGGGGTGGATGAAGAGAAGAAAAAAAAAAAAGTATTGCATTTGCATTTCCTCCTACATTACCATTAAAAAACAAAATAAGAAAATAAAGATTCAGTGATTTCTATAAAGTTCCATTGTTCCTCAATGTGCAAATATGTATATTTCTAGCAAGCACTAATCTTGAACAATCTCAGACATCCAGGCAGATTCTATTAATCTTCCCCGATACCTTATTGCTATAACCACATCTCCAAATAGTTGCTTCTGATTCCAAATTTCTATCACTTCGCTCCACAATGTAAAGTTCAATCATCTCTACAATTAGACAAATTTAACACAACAGACTTAATCTGCATAGCATAGATACAAACAAGCATGATTGGGACATACGAACACTGCAGATCTTAAAGAAGTAGGACATGGCAGCATATCATATATTCATATATCTGTTGTGGATATTATATAAGAAAAATATGAAATCTAGTTAATCCCTAATTATTTCTACTAAAAATTGCAAAATGCGGAACATGAAGCTTCACAAAAGTGGATCAAATAATAGACATTGAAAGGGAAAAGAAAGAGAAAGATAGATCGAAGAAAGAAGGAGACCTTTCGAACGTAACCGTACTCGCTCTCCTTCTCTGAATCTTCGAAAGTTGTCAATCGAGCTCCGTATACGGACGGCATTTTGTGAGACGGATCAGAGGAGAAACCGAAATCAAAAATCTAACGCTGCGCATACACATCACGTTTCTGAGCAGCTCCTTCGCCACTGGAATGAGAGCAGCAGAGGGAAAGCCAACGGAGTGAGAAACAAAAGAGTGAGGCTTCTTAACCCCGTCACTCGACGCCATCGTCTGCCGTGCTCACAGTCGCGAGAGAGACAGAGATGGGGATTTTTGGTTCAAAAATTAGGGATTTGAGATTTGGGGATTTTTGGTTGATGGGGGGGAAAAACGAGCGGGAATGGGAAGGGAGGGGATTGGAAATATTTTTGGAATTTTTTTTTAATTTATTTTCATTACATATGAATATTTAAATAATAAAACGACTCTTTTTTTCGCAACGGAGGATTTGCTAAAAAAGATTATTTTTTATTAAAATAATTTTTTTTATAGTTAATGATTTTTTATTTTTTTTTCATTTAGTAAGGTTGAAAATTTATTTGTTTCATATTTACTTTAATGAATAAAAAATTATTATTAATTTTTTATTTGGTAGAAGTATGGATAATATTTTCTATTAAAATAAAGTTAATTTTTTGTGGTCAATGAAAAAAAAATTTTGCGACCCATTTTTTTTTTTTTGTTACTAAAAATCAAGAATTAATTTTTTGTGGTATAGGATAGGAAGTGGCAGTAGTGGCGAAAGTGGTGGAGAAGAGGTGATAATGGTGGTGGTAGTGATGGTGAAGGAGATAAGTGGTGAAGTTGTAGTAGTGGTAGAGGAGATAGA